CACACTTTAACTCATGAGATCAGCTACTTACTTCACAGGTAATAAATGTCCCTTTCCGAAGATAAGTAATTTTGGGCTGGGAACTACCCGGCTGCCCTGGACTCTATTCCATCCGGGCCTGAAAGGCGAAAGCCCCTGGAAAGCCGATAGCACATCAGAGAGATAGACAGAAACGAACGAAACCTAGCGAGTCTTCGGCTAGTCCACTTGTAGAGAACCTATTCGTAGGAGAGAAAGACTGGCACGATACCAGGTGAAGCTAGCAAGGCGGAGGTCGGTGATGGGTCCCAAAGAATGGTTTCATCAAAGCACACGCCCATTCCAAGCCCGACTCGAGAGGGAGAGCTTGAACAGGACATAGGGCCCAGGATCGAAGAAGCAACGGTACACTTCGCACGAACCCCTGAACTTCTTTACGGAAGCTTTCTCGATGTCTCGCTGAACGTACGTGGGACTGAACAGTTCCTGCATATGCTTTCATAGGGTTGCAACCCATTGGATAGAGTCTCGTTTAAAAGAAAGATATCTCCTAGCTACAATGCCGAATGAAACTACAATTCGTCCTCTGCGAAGAAATACTCCCCGCCAGGTTCATTCCGCCCTCCCTCACGTGACTAAGCGCTGGTTGACCACTTACCGACCAAGAACAAGAAGTGGTGCGTTTCATGAAACCTGGGAAATTTGGACAAAACCTACTTGTAGCCCTAAACGGGGTCTCGTTTTGCAACCAATCCAGTGAACACGGGATTTTTCGTAGCAAAGCGAATTCCACCCTAAGCGAGGTGCCAAAAGTAGCTTTTTTTACTACTTAGGTGGGACTCAAAGTTTCACAATCGAAGGTGCCTCTCAAGGCAGAATTGGGCTTGACTAATTTTCCCTATATATAGAATGAAACTTTGCGAAATGAAACAGTGTATCAGGGCGTAAAACCTTTGACCCGCTTTTGTACCTATGTTTGATAGACAGCTTCCAGTGCGAATCCATTCATTTCTATTCCAGTAGAGAAGTAAAAAAGAGCTATTATCCACTGGTCGAGGAAGCTGAGAGGAAAAAGGCAGAATTCACCCAATTCAATATTAAACAAGTCCGAACTCTTGAATCATTCCTGGAGTCTGTGTCTGGCGGGCGTTGGCACTTTTGTGCTGTAGGATGAATCTCTTTCTGAGTATGGTTTCGGGTTGGCATAATTTCCGTAGGATCATTTCATAATGTTATGTGAGCCTCTCTTGATTCAGGAGACGGGGAATACTTTTGGTAGCGAATAGTTATCTTGTTTCGTGTGTCCCTTGTCTTTCCCTATACCGGAATAAAGCGTCAGGTAAGCGATCCTCACATTTCCTGTTCTGCAAGGAATAAAGCAACCAGAGAAGTACCTAGCCGGATCATGTTTACTCGATCAAGTTTCCTCTTTCTGGTCTCTGAGTCATTCAAGAGTTCTAAGTCTTATCCCTTAAATATGATGGATTCGTGCAATAGTCCGGCCCTAAGCACTTAGTTTGTCCAGCCTACACGAGCCCCCGGGGCGAGGGCATCCTATTCCCTCTGCTTCACCACTTGGGTACCCCAGAATGGACTGAAAATCCATTTATTACGTAAACGCTTTTTCGAAGAAAGCTTTTAATAATGAATTCCTAGCCCACCCGGTCTTTATGCCCAGTATGGAACCAGCGTCGGTCGCAGTGTTGCTTTGCTGGGTTGGTAGCCGCAGCGTTCATATTTGCCATGGAGGTCTCCTCCCGAGTACCTAGGGAACCAAGGACAACTGCAATAACGAAGTCCCCTTTCGTATTTCAGGGCTTATTTATGGTCTATCCATAATAACGATATCCGTATTTCGTTATTACTTACGGCCATGTATTATTCAAGATCCAATCGTATGTAATTTGTATCTCACAATTACAACTCCTTGTGATTAACAAATCACTTAAACTTGAATCTTTGAACTCTATTATATAATGTTATTTATCAGAATATTAATTTAAATAAATAATAGATCTTGTAAAAAATAAATACATTAAACATATTAAAAGTGTTTACAACCTAAATCGATTGGATCTAGGACATAATACTTACATTAGCTTCCTTTGTAGATGTGCTACTGACAATTTAGTGTTTAACCATGCTTTTAAAGGGATTTTCCTGCTTTGTTTTTGTACTAGTTGCCACAAGAAATTTTAAGGATGCAATAATTTTCTTAGGAATATGGTTAATTTGGGATTGAAATAACTTTCATAGTATCTACTGATTTCTCACCGAAAATACTTGTTTTTACAAATGCTCAAGGTCCTCCGGAAGAGTCATTTTTTGTTGAGGAAGATACTTTGCCAAACCATGACATCGAGAATTTTCAGGAAGATATTCCTTATGGGATCTTGGACAGGTCATTAAAGTGAGTTCAAAATGTTTTCTTCAATTTCTTTTCTTTAGTCACTTGAATTGAAGAAACAAAATTATTTCACACTTTGATGCTTTTAGCTTAAATATGGGGATCCAAATTTTGATTGTCTATGGATCTGTTAATAACATGGCAGAAAGTTTCTCATGCCGAGAGTATTACAGCTAATACAAAGAGGCAAAGAGAGAACAAATGAAATGGTAGAGGACAATAGAGGTATTAGCAGTCGTGGTCAAATTTAGATCTCAGAGGACCAGAAAGCTTGCAGGTACCCATTGAGAACAAACATTTGAGAAATTGTGTTCCCTTTTCTAGGTGGTGTTGTATCACATTTAATGTTTTAGTGTATGATTCAAAAATTTGTAATGAAATTATTATCAATTTTGTAGGTTAATTTGTGTGTGTGTGCGCGTGTATGCAACGGTCAAAAAGAAAAATAAAAAAAGGGAGAGAGACCTACGGCAACGATAAAAAAATGTAACAAAAACTAAGAATATAAGTATAGGCAATAGGCAAGGAATGTTGTAAAATGTTTTTAGCCACATTCAGGGAACGTTGTTAAAAAAATTTGCAACGTTCAAAAAATACTGCAAAAAGTTATTCGCAATATTCATAGAATGTTGCAAAAAAGTTATTAGCAACGTTCAGAAAATGCTGCAAAAAGGTTATTAGCAATTTTGCAAAAGGATTATTAGCAACGTTCATGGAACGCTGTAAAAATGTTATTTGCAACGTTCAAAAAATGTTACCGTATCCAAAGATTCTATGGAAACATCGCATCCCACAAGATACGTGTGAACGCTGCAAAAGGTGATTGACAACGTTTTTTGACCGCTGCAAAAGACTCTTTTTGGTGTAGTGTTTGATTATGAAATCAAATAAGTGTTGTGAATATTAAGCTGATTATTTAACAACATATCTGTAAAAATATTTTTATATAAATACATATTTATTTAACTAAGCATTAATTATTCTGTACATCTCATAAATTTTTTCATAAATAATATTTATAGTTTCATATCCGGCAATCTCTGTGAAATAATATTTTATTTAAGTTATCATGAGACAATTATTTCAAAAATAATTAAAATTCATTTATTATTTGTAGTTTTCATATCTGGAAAACTCTATGAAATTAAGATGTTAGTTATCATAACACAATTATTTTAATATAATAATAATTTTTTTTTAAATAACTTACATTAAACTTATAATTTTTATATATCTTTTAAACTGAATTAGAGGCTTGAATTTCCATTTAATTTTAATTATTAAGATCCCCAAAATAGAAACATTTCAAGAAATATATATATATATATATATATATAAATGTGACATTAATTGATGAAATAATTTAGTTCTTGTTTGGTAGTATTTTTATTTTTAAGTACGTAGAGCATCTCAAATATGCTTTTTATTTTTAAAGAGCATCTTATACATTATAGAGGATATCAATAAATTTAGAGAGTCAAAAATTTTATGAGCTCCAACAATACTCTCTATTTTATCTCTTTATTTTTTTTTCCTCAAGAAATATTTATCAATTTCTTCTTATATTTTATTTAACATAAATTTTTATATGTCAATGGTCAATTAATTTAAATGTGTTCTAAATAGTTTAAGAAATAGATTATTGATATCTATGACTTATTAAATGCAATCATGGTACATTAAGGATGGAGAGTGAGTTTGACTCTCTAAATTAAATAGAAAGTCTCTTAGACTCACTTTTAAGCATTATATCTTTTAAATATAGAGCATTTTGTATTTAGAGAGTTTTATTTTTGAAGATGATCTTATAGTTGGTTTTGTGAAATTTGTACCTAATAAATAGATAGTAATTGTGGCTGTGTGGAGAAAACATATGATTGATCAACTTAAATTAAAATCTAAACTTTGTTATACATGCTAAATGGGATTCATATTTCTACATTTAATATCTACTATAAATCACTGGGTACTTAACAAGTTTTAATATGCCCCCATTTGGTTTGGATGGTAATAGATTATTAATAAATTTTAATAAAAGTTAGGGAAATGTGTGACAGAAAAGTTGATTAAAGTTGTGGATCCTATTAAGCCCATGTTTGAGCCACATTCTAGGGAAAAAAATGTATTATTCATGTCAAATCAATGAAAAATGTGTGGTTAAAAAATAAGAATTTTTTTTAGATTTACGTGTAATATTATTTTATTGAAGAATGTGTGGTTGAAATGATATCAAATCACTGTTAAATAATGTATTTTTTTGAAAATATTGTGGCTCAAACAAGCCCTAAATATGTAATTGAAGATGAATTTGGAGGAAAAAAATAAATTTCAAGACATTAGAACCAAACAAGAACTCCATAACACGATAATTGTGCAGTTGAATTCACCTAACATGATTTGTTGTGTACAAGGTAAATTTGGCAACATTCATAACAAAAATCATGTGTCAGTTCACACCAAACATGTTTTCATGAGGGCCACCGTGGTGGTGCATATCTTCAAGACGGCCACGTTGATAATGCAGGTTGTGCATGGACATGCACCCTTTTAGTACACTCCTATAAAGCCCTAATATCTCTCCACTTTCACTTCATCATCAAACAATTTAGTAACCATGTCTACTGCATACTTTCTAGTGTTCTTCCTTGGGCTATTGGTTCTCGCGATTCCCGCGGCCGCCCATGGTGGTTCTGCCTATGACGAGGAGAGGCAGAAAACTCTTGTAGATCGTTTTTATGCTAGAATCAAGAACAAGCCCACAACCATTCATTTAGCAGAGGAAGCATCCAGGAAAACCACCATGAACCAAGAGGGAGAACCTAAGTCCAAGCAAGCAGGTTGTCCACCGGCAGCAACTGCCATGAATCGAGCGGAGCAACCAGCTAAGCCCGCAGGTTGTCCACCGGGAGCAACCTGCATGAATGCAGCGGAGGAATCATCTAAGCACAAGTCAGCAGGTTGCCCACCGGCGGCAACCACCACGAATCTAGCAGAACAACCAGTTAAGCCAGCTGGTTGTCCACCAGGAGCAACCTGCATGAATGCAGCGGAGGAATCACCTAAGCACAAGTCAGCAGGTTGCCCACCGGCGGCAACCACCAAGAATCTAGCAGTACAACCAGCTAAGCCAGCTGGTTGTCCACCAGGAGCAACCTGCATGAATGCTGAGGAGGAATCACCTAAGCACAAGTCAGCAGGTTGCCCACCAGCAGCAACCGCCATGAATCAAGCGGAACTTCCAGCTAAACCAGCTGGTTGTCCACCGGGAGAAACCTTTATGAATGCAGCGGGAGAAGAACCTAAGTCCAAGCTCGCAGGTTGTCCACCAAAAGCAACCTCCGTGAATGAATGGGAGAAACCACCTAAGCCAGCAAACGGCTCCGATGCTGTGGTGAAAGGGCATAACCCGGCTTCAATACCAAAAGGGGGAAGTGATTGACGACTTCTGTAATATTGTCAACAATGTAGTTTCTACAAACAACATAATATTATCATGGAAAACTTTTATTGCAATCTATGTTAAATGATATCTTACCGTAAAAATGCTTTCTAAAATATCTTGATTGCCATGTTTTGGTTATGTTCATTTCACAAGGTCCTTTTTTTTGCAAAAAAAAAAAAAAATTCATGTTTTTAGTAAATGAACAATTATATGACGAAATCAATGCATAAGGTGCTCGACCTTATTTTAGTGCAAATATTGTTAATAGATCATTTTTGGACAAAATGTACGAGATTCTTGATTTACTCAAGTTGTCATTAAAGCTCAAACAATAAGTTATTTGAGTGAAGATTGCCGATCAAGACATACTATGCATATTATATGTCATGCTCATGTTTCGTGGAAATTAAAATTTTAACTTTAATTTAAGTCAAAGTTGACAACTAATTTTAAATACGAATTTTATGTGATCCACAACTTTTTAATCATAAATTTCATTGACTTATATCAAAATTTACTAAAAAATTGATTTTAATCCTTACCAAACATAGTCTATATATACTATTACAAGAAAGAAAAATAGTGTTCTTTTTATTGCAAAACAATTTTTTCGAAATATTAAGTCCCGTTTGATAAAGATTGAAATCAAATTTTTAGTTGATATTGATAAAAGTTGATGAAATGTATTATTAAAAAGTTGTAGGTTCTATAAAATGTGAAGTTAAAATTAATTGTTAACTTTGACTTAAATTTTAATCAAATTTTTTAATAGTACCAAACAAGGACTATGATGATTAAAATAATAATAATAATAAATTAGATTTTTCGAGTGCACTATATTCTTTAGACTATTTCTGAAAACGCTTTTAATCCCAATTCTATCCGATTTTGATAGATTGGTCAGAGAGTTTTCGTAATAAAATAATTGATCCAATACGGTGACCATTTGACTAGATGTTGCAAGTTAGGATTGCATTTTTTATGTGACTATTTTACCCTTCACATTTCTAGCAAAATGAAACGAATGCTCCTCAAATATTTCATGCTTGCCCAACAATGAAGGGTAAAAATGACAGTTGACATAGTGCAATCACATTTGACTTGTCAATTATGTCATAAAGTGGGAGAAAAAGAAATGTTTGAATATGTAATGGTGCAGATGTTATATACAACAAGTAAATGACTATTCTAAGAAATATACTATAGCAAGGAATTAATAAAGGGAATAATTAAAATCCTATAATCTTGCATAATAAGAAATTGATTATTTCCATTTGAGGCCAATACAACTCATTTGACATTCCCATTCAAGTTGGAGCATATATGTTGTCCATTCCTAACTTGCTAATTGAGCTATGAAAAACTCTTCCTTTAGGTGCTTTGGTGAAGACATTTGCAAGTTGATCTTTGGACTCAACAAATTGTACTTTAATAATCTTAGCCTCAAGCTTTTCTTTAATGAAATGTCTATCAACTTCAACATGTTCGGTTCTATCGTATTGCACTAGATTATATGCAATGACAATTGTAGCTTTGTTGTCACAATGTAATTTCATTGCATGTTTAGGTTCGAACCCCAAATCTATCATCGAGTTCCTAATCCAGAGTATCTCACATACTCTATATGCCATACTCATATATTTTGTTTAAGCACTGGCTCTTGACACCAAATTTTGTTTCTTACTCCGCCAAGTGACCAGATTACCTCGTACAAAAATAAAGTATCCAAATGTAGATCGTCTATCATTAGCAAAACTTGCCCAATCTGCATCATTATGATCTTCAACATCTAGATGACCATGAAGTGAGAATATTAATCCTTTTCTGATAGCTAACTCCAAATTTCTAAGAATTTTATTTACAACATCCATGTGAGCTTCACTTGGCGCATGCATGAATTGACTGACCAAAGTTACTATATATGCAATGTTAGGTCTAGTACGTAATGGATATATCAACTTACCCACAAGGCGTTGATATCATTTTTGTTGGTGGAACCTGGCCAGGATATTCACCAAATTTATGATTATCTTCCATCGGAGTCTCTGCTAGTTGGTAAACTAGCATTCTAGTGTCGATCAAAATGTCAAAGTTATACTTCCTATATGAGAGAAATATTTCTTATTTCGAACAAGCTACTTCAATGCCCAAAAAATACTTCAGAGAACTGAAGTTCTTCATCTCAAAAAATCACTTTCTAATTGACATTGTAACACTATCTTTTCTTTAGGGTCATTCCTTGTAACCACCATGTCATCAACATATACAATAAAGATAGTGACCTTATCTTTTCTATGTTTCAAGAAAAGGGTATGATTTGAGTTACTTTTCTTGTAGTCAAAATTCTTCATTGACTTGCTGAACCTCTGAAATTATGCTCTTGGTGATTGTTTCAATCCATAAAGGAATTTTCTCAGTTTACACACTATATTGCTCTAATTTAGTACTATCTTGAATCTTAAAGAGGAATCCATATAGGCTTCTTCTTTTAAGTCTCTGTGTAGGAAGGATTTTTGTTTTGTTTTGTTTTGTTTTTTGTTTTTGTTTTTTGTTTTTTTTTGTTTTTACTTTGAACTAGTGTAATAGCCAATCCATGTTTGTTGCTAAAGATTAATGTACTAGAATTGTATTGATCTTTACCATTGGAGCAACGGTTTTACCATAATCAATCCCATAAGTTCGAGTATATCCTTTTGCCACCAATCTTGCTTTATATTGATCAATGGTGCTGTCTGAATTTTGCTTTACATATCTATCGGCAACCTACTATTCCTTTTCCTGTAGGAAGGTTAGTCATTTTCCATGTGGAATTTTTTAGAGGGCCTCTATTTCTTCATTTATTGCATGTGTTCATTTGGGATATTTTAGACTTTCCTGCACATTACTTAGGATAAAAAAAGTGGATAATTGGCATACATATTAAGCACATGATAAAGAGATCCTATGTAGGGCATGTGATTTGCGATAGGGATCTCTCTACTTGTGCGATGGGTAACTAATAACCTATGTTTTCTATATGACTCCACTCAATTAAATGGTATAGGTTTGAGTGTTCAGTTACCTATAGAGAACTTACAGGACTTGATTGGATGTTTAGAGGTAGTACTGTGGAGAAATTGGGAAAGTATATTGAGTATTATCTGGAGTTGCTGATTTTTTTAGTCTCTTGATCTTGTTGTACAGTTGTAGCTGGTGAATTAGTGGTTACTACATCGTTAAGTATTGTTGGAGGTTGCTCAGACTATTTAGAAACTTGGATGATTTGATTCTAAGTGTCTTATGCAAAGATAGAAGTTTGATTTTATGTGTTTTTGCAAAGATAGAGCTCTCCTCCTGTAGGAGATGCTTAGGATCTCCACTAAGTAATAGAATTCACTCTTGAGAAAAGTAATATCTATAGTGACATACAATGCCTCAGTAAAAGGGTGGAAACATTTATACCCCTTTAGAGTGTCCTATACCCAATGAAGACACAATGTAGCGCACACAAATCGAGTTTATGGGAATATACCTGAACATAGGAAACACAACCAAAGACATGAGGTTCAAAGTTTGGCCTCGATGGTACAGTAAGAAGAATGGACAATGTCTGAAATGGAGTTCGACACTGAAGGATACTAGATGGTGTTCTATTAATCAGGCAAGCAGGGGAACATAGAACTTCTCTCTAAAAATGATGTGGCATGTGGGCTACAAATAAAGAGGTGCAAACAACTTCCATGAGGTATTGATTCTTACGTAATGCTACACCATTCTGTTGTGGTACTTAGGCACATTTAGTTTGAAGAATAAAACTACTATAACTTAAAAAAATTGGAGATTATTTTTAACATACTCTCTTCCATTGTAAGATCTAAATACTAAAATTTTCTAATCAAATTGAGTAGCACCATATTGATAAAATTGTTTGAAATTTGGAGCGACTTCACTTTTATGTTTCATGGGAAGAATCCAAGTCATTCGAGATCAGTCATTTATAAATTTCACAAACTACTTCAAGTCATGAATAGTGAAAACTCTTGACAGTCCCCAAACATCGGAATAGACAAACATAAATGGCATAAACTTTTATTTAATCATAATGGGTGAGAAATATGATGGCCTTTTGCCAAAATGCAAGTTTTACAATGAAAATTTGATTTAGTAAATTGAGAAAATTAATAAGGAAATAAAAGTTTAAGACAAACAGGCATGTCCTAATCGTGTATGCTACAGCTAAATCTTTTTCATCCAAACAGGCATGTCCCCTCTTACATGATGAGCTTCACTTAATCTTTTACTGCAATCTTTTCTTAAGTCCAGATAATTCAACTTTCCCTTTCTAGTACCACATTCAATCACAATCTTGGTGAGGAGATCCTGGAAAAGACAATAAAATGGCAAAAACACATAGTAAAATTAAGAAAATCAATGATTTGAGGAATAGATCACAATTCATAGTCAAGCGGTGAGACGACTAAGACATGATCTAAGCTTAATGATTATGTAAGAGATAGGAACCCTTATACCAAAATTGGAAAGGTAATTCTATTAGCGCTGGTAACATAAGTTTGGCTAGATGGTTTTTCATAGAGTGTAAACTAGTAAAACTGGAAGTCATGTGATTGGTGGTACCAGTGTCAATAATCCATTATCTATTACGAGTATGTGAAGATGTGCAAGAGAAAATACCTGAGGTTGCCACGGCCTTGGAGCCAAATAAACCTATGAAGGTTCTAATATGTTTTCCTGAGATGAGTTGACAAATATGCATCAGACTTTGCTTGAATCCCTCTATCATCATTTGTGAACCCATCCTTCTCGATAACCAATAATCTCATAACAACCCTTAACTGTATGGTTGTTTAGACCACAATTGGCACACTTCATTGGGGATCGATTTTGAGTGGTAATTGATTTCAGATTGGATGGTTAAGATTGCTTTAGCCTTGTTGTAACTAAGGCTGCTACTTCAGATTTACAATCCCCAGGAAAACAATTATAAATAATTCAATTCT